CACACTCTGTAGAGCACAGTACCCTTGCACATCATCATTATCAAGTCCACGTGCATGGTCATGGAACATTGTTGTTACCATAGCAGGTTCGTCAACCAAAGTATATAATCCATTGCGATGTCCAAATCGCCATGTAGTTCCGTTTCTGGTCACAAAGAAGCTGTTCTCTCTCTTTGTGTCCATAAATACATCAAATCCATCTTGTACCATATTCGACAAGCTCTTGACGTTGTCACTAGCTCGTGTGTCAAGCTTACAAACAGAATCAAATACCTTATCAATTCCTTCTCAATAAAGTTCTCTTCCCTCAACATTAGAGGCATAATGGAATCCTCCATGAATTCCTTGTAGACTTCCTTCTTTAAAGTCATCTTCATTGGTTCGCAAATGAAAAGTAGATCCACTATCCAAGTGGATATCAGTATTGTTGTGTTGAAATAACATCATCCCTTGTTCTCTTGGATGATTGTCAGTATGTCCTTGTTGAATAAATTGTCCTCCATGGGATCCATTGTTGGAACGTCCATAGTTCCATTGAGTATTTGAATCACCCGATTCATTATCATCACACGTTGCATTTTCATCACGTTGCATATTTTGTTGATTACCACGACCATTCGCGTCCGAATAATCCCTATATTTGTCCGGGTTTTTCCACTGTTCCCGCGGCTTCAATTTGTCCGCACATTGAGGTGCGACATGATTTTTTGATCCGCACACAAAACACGCTCAAGTTTGTTGTTGTGAAAACTGAGCTCCGTCATTTTGATTGTTGTTTGACTTATTTTGTTTCCCTTGTCCATTCGAATTTCCTCCATTCGAATTCTTCTTCCTATTATCGTGTTTGTGTTGATTCAAAACATCAGCAGCATTTTCCAAAGTAGTTGGAAATGTACAACGTTGTTTGAAATCCAGATGCTTCAACCTGTACTGCGCCGTCATTCCATCAATTCTTGATTGATACTTGGCTCTATCGGAATTATACAGAAATCCGTTGGCCATGAATCTTTCCCATGATTCCTTCTTGTGTTGGGATCGTTCAGCATTGCTTCCCAATAAATCATATTCCTGACTCTTCTCAGTAAATTTGTCCAAAAAATCATCACCAAGCAAAGCGTGTAATGCCTTTGCCCTTTCTTCAAATCGTTTACAAAAACTTGCAATGTTTTCCTTCTCCTTTTGATGGCAATTAATCAGATTGCTCATAGTCTTCCACAGACCAAAATATTCCCATTCTGTATCAACAGTAGTCGTCATAAATTTCTTGATCCGCATCAATACCTCCACAGGATCATTGAACAGTTTGTTATCAAAGTCAGCTTCTCGCTCAAGCTTGTCCACCATGTGATCGGTGCACATCTTCATAATCATTCCATAGACATTGCATTTATTGTTATCAAACACGTTCTTCCTGGCCTTCCAATCCTTTCGATCAGCCAAATAGTTAGTTCTTCTTTCTTCATTCTTGATCTCCTTATCAGGATTGCTGTCATTAGTCACCAATACCAATGTTGGTTTCACACTTTCAAT